TTTTGCAGTAAAGAAAAAAAGCAGTGCTTACCTTTGGTTAGCCTGGAATTCTCAGAACTCACGTGGCCTAAGCTGTCTTTTCTTGGAACACAGTTTAAAAATCCTAAACTTAAAAAATGTTGTTCTATACTTTTTGCCTTCTCGAGTCACCTGACCAAGTGTGACATTGTTCACTTTTGTGTTTGTGTTCATGACTGCAGTCATTCAATAAATATTTTTTTCCCTAGAAATTGTTAAGAATGAGCTGAATAAAACTAACCAGTCTATGAAAGGCTTGAACTTGAGGCCCTGACTCTAATACCATATTAAATCAAGCAGAAAATATCCCAACCCTTGATTCTTTCCTTCAGACCATTTCTGTACTAAGATAAAATTATTTCAGTTGACCGTTCAGACTAATACCTGTTCATCTTGATCTGCTGCCCCACAAAGACAGTATTAAAAGCTTGCTTGTGACACACTGTCAGGCCTTCAGTCACCCTGTCCCGGGCAAGGTTTGTAGCTCCAGCTGCTCCATCAAGGAAGGGGGGGCCCCTGGCCAGCATCTGCCTCCCCGTGCGTCCCAGCCTGGCTGGCTTTTTCAGGAAGCCTCCTTGGTGTCAGCCTAGGGGGCGGGCACTGTGGCTGCCTGGTGTACTGCTCTGTCCTTAAATGTTTGTTGGATGAATAAATGAACTGGCACCACATAGTATCGAGGGCTCTTCTCTGTAATCAGTGTCGTTGACAAGAAAGGGTTGTTACAATCTCAGTAGGACTTCACTGAACCTTTGCTGAACGCTCTTTTGAACCCTGGTACACTCTTTTTGCTGAAGATTGAGCTCTAGTGCTCATACTGGAATTCTTTATAAAAAGAGTACAGAGGGACCAAGAACCTGCGGGGTGCTGGAAGAATAAAAGTGAAGAAAGACAGTGATAGAAATGTGTCTCCAGAGCCATTTAAAAAAAAAAAAACCCAAAAACGAACTGTATTTTTCAATTTTACTTTATTGTATGTTTTTAAATGGAGGGACTGGGATTGAGCCCAGGACCTCGTGCACGCTAAGCCTGTGCTCTACCGCTGAGCTATGAGCCTCCCTGTATTTTTCAGTTTTAAAGGCCTGCTGAACGTTAATATTTTTATAGATGATCCAAATCATAGTTTAGTGTGTTTTAAGCTTATGTTTGTTTTTAGTGGGTCTTAATTGGCCTGCCACTTCTCCCCCAGAATCTTAGTTTCTCTGAGAGCACAAGTGCCTGCCTCCCTGTAACTTGATTTGTGGGGAGGGGCGTATCGCCCAGAAGTGCCCCGTTCCTCTTACCCAGTGGGTAGCATCTTTTCTTTATTATAAAGTAGAGTTTCGATTTTAGACATCTTTGTGTCACTCAGTAAATAAAACGTTTGTCCAGAGACTCCTTCTATCACCAGATGCTGTTGGTTTGCAGAGATTTACATGTTGAGAACAGTGAGAGAACTGTTCCTGCGACGTCATTCACTAGTGGTGCTCGACGTCGCGAACAGGTTGCGGCTTCAAGAATACAGTCAAGGCAAAACATGAAATAAGACAGCCTTTTAAGTTGGAAAATGCTGGGTAATGTTGGAGGGAAAACACACTTGTGAGAGATGAGAAGATTCTTCTTACACAACTTTTCATCTTCTGATGAAGGTTCTTAAGGGTTTTGGGTCACCTCTGCTTAAAGGTAACAGAGGGATGGCCCTCACTTCTCCCACCCCAGTTCTTCTTTGGTAAAATTTACATCCTGTCTGTTCTGCTGTTTTATATATGACAGCTTGTTTGTGTGTTTGATTTATATGTTACAAGCATTGGAGTTAAGCATAAAAACGATTACCTTCAGTTTATGATACTAATTTTTTGGACAACACACATCTTGAATCATTTTTATTTATTTAAATGTCAGTCATTCTGTTTTAGTTCCAAAAGTGGACGGCACAGTCCTTATATCCCCCATAATGTTCCAAGAGGCATGTGGAATTATAATAGAAAGTGTGTCAAGCCGAAAGTCCTATAGGGTGTATTTAAAAATGCCTTTGGTATCTAACATTCTCCGCATTTGCCCTAATAAATGAGGGGTTTTAGGAATGCCCTATATGGCAATATCAGATGTTAATGGCATTGATTACCTGTCAGGCAGTGGGAATTGATGGGGAAATGTCCGCTGTAAAATTAAATAGCATTAGAGAAGACTGTACCGTGCAGGGGCGGGGGACATGGCTGGGCCTGGGAGACTTTGTCAGGGCATTACTGTGAGCTCCAGGTTTTTTCCCCCCACATGATTAAGGCAGGCCATCTGTTCTTTGTTAAATGTTTACAAAAACAGCTTTTCTCTAAAAGATTTAAGGAGATGTGGGTCTGGTAAACACTATATTTCTGAGCACCTTCTCCACCCTCTTTCGGCTAGGACCAAAACACAGTTCTGCTGCATACCAAACAGGATTGATACCTTTTTTTGTATTTGATCTTTACATTTTTTCCCCTTCTTAAGGAAGATTAAATTTTTAAGGGATACTAATTTATGGCTTCATTTATTCCTGAAAGGAAACATCCGAAATGATACGTATGCTAAAGCGTAGATGAATTTTCAGTCTTTCTGTCGTACGTGCTCTGTGCTTTTCCTGACTCGCCGATGCGCACCAGGTGTCTCTCACCTGAAGCCGGCACCCGGTTCCCGGAGTCCGTGCCCCGCAGGTCACAGGCAGGTGCGTGTGGCCGGGATCAGGGTGCCGTTCTGTGCCGGGGGCGCCGCTCACGGGTGGGCTTTCCTCCCTCCTTCCCTTTCCAGGACATGCTCTGTCTTCTGTTTCCTGAGAAATAGCTTGTCCTAAATAAGTTTGATCTCTGTGTCTCTTACAAAAAGACTTGGCTTTTCCCTTTTTCCTTATATTAGGGGATAATATGTAACAACTTGAGCCACATCAATAGAGGGAAACAGTTTAGTGACACCCTGTTCACGCTCAGGCAGTGGGAACGCGGAGAGCCCCTCGGCTGACGTTTTTAGGGCTGCTGGTGGGGGGAGAGAGAGTGGAAGGGAGCTTTTCTCAGTACTGGGTGGGTTGTGTTTCCCGAGTGTAGACGTGCAACTGTGTGCTTTTCCCCCCTCCTCTGCCCTTGTCTCTCTCCTCCCGCACATCCTTGCTCTCCTTCAGGGCCTCTCTCAGCTGTGACTTAAGAAAGGACAAATATGTATTTTAAGATTTCCTAGTACTGTAGGGTTTTGGAAGAGACTTTGGAAATGTCGAAACCAGACGCTTCATTAGGCAGATGAAGAAAGTGAGTGGAATGATTTTCCCCAGATAAGACAGCTAGTGGCGGGGCCCGGGCTAGAATTGTCTCTCACCCTGCAGTCCTGGGCTCCTCCCGCACAGGCGCAGATGGAGAGCTGGAGGGAGGTTCGTCGGGGATCGTAGTGGGTTTTAGTGGGAACAGTACCACCAGCTTCTTTGCAGGCAGTGATTATTATTATTATTATTATTAATGTTTTTGGATCCCTGAACACTTTGGAAATGAAGTGATGCCTGGGGCACCTATCCCAGGAGGATGCCTGTGTGTGTGATTTCAGGAGCCCGACAGTCAGAGGGGCGCTGGATTTAGGAAATCCAGATTCAGATCTCAGTTCTCTCCCCTGTGGTGTGGCATCCTTACCTTTTACTTCTTTTCTGAAAAATGGGGGCAAATTGTCACATTTTTGTGTGAGGTTCAGGTGAACGAGCTTCTGAAAGCACCTTGCTCAGTATGTGGCGTGAAATAGATGCTCTGTGAATGTTCACTGTATTAGAAGCAACTTGTAGCACTTGGCAGGTAGTGAGCAGTGGCTCCTGGACTCCTCTCTTGTCCTCTGCAGACCTGGACCCGGGGTCTCCTGCGGCTCCTCTTTTGGAGAGAGATATGGGTCTCATTTCTGTCACTTGCGCCTGTAACTCCCTGCGCACATCCTTCACCTGAGAGTCAGTGTCCACACCGAGTTCCGGCGTGGGGACTGGGTGGTGTCAAAGTGTGTAACACGTGCCCAGCACATGGCAAGACTGTTCAGTACACACGAGCAGCTGTCACTGCTGCTGCTGTTCATGTTGTAGTTACTAGGAAGTGTCTGGAGAAGCATGGGGAAAAGGAAGAAAATGTGTGACATTTGCAGATACAATGTTGCAGTGTAAAGGCTCTTAGATGTCATAGTTTACAGTGGGGACAGATGGTTCTCTACCCCTGCCCTGGTTTGGATCGGGAGCTGTGGGGCTGAGTCACTGACCCCTCAGCATCCCAGCCCAGGTGTTGATATCTGCACTGTATTTAAGACCATGTCCGGGTATAGCACTAGTGGATGTCAAAATCCTCCTGCAAAGCATGTCAAATTGACTGTTGGGGGTCTCTCTCGTAAAGCTTTAATCACCTTTTTATCAGTACAAGAAATCTAACCAACCCAAAGTCATTAAGTTTGTATATGTGCTTTTAATTTGACGTTTGAATGTCATTTAAATCAGGAATGACCTGTACTATGTAAGATTTATGTGTTTACACTCAGATTTCAGACTTTCCATGGGCTCTGATTCTTACAGTGCTCAGTACACGTGTTCTTTTTAAAGGTGACTTAATTATATACCTTTAATTAGAGTTCCCGTTCCAGAGTGGGGAAAAGTCTGCTCGAATCCCATCTCTGTGGCTTTGCTTTTGCTGCCGTTTTTGTCCTTCGTCATTTCCTACGTAGGTGCTAAGAACATGGAAAGTGTCTCCGGCTGAATGAGAAATTTTCTTCCTCCTGACGGAATTTTTTTTTTTTTTTACTGTATTACTAAGCTGCCCTTTTTAACCCTGTTGATTTAAAAGCTTTCTTGTTAAAGGAGTCTTTTTTTTTGGATGAGAGAAAATGATGGGTTTCACAACCATGTAGCTGGTGAGGTTTGCTACCTTGACTATAGAGTAGGTTTCAGAAGCATCAGCCACTAACTTTCAGTTCCTTTCTTCACTACGAAGAATGATAAACTAATTTCAATTCCTTTTTGTGTCTCTTAGCATTCTCCATCGGAGCCCTTTCTAGAGAAACCAGTGCCGGATATGACTCAGGTTAGTGGACCGAACGCCCAGCTAGTGAAGAGTGATGATTACCTGCCGTCGATAGAACAGCAGCCACAGCAAAAGAAGAAGAAAAAGAAAAACAACCACATTGTTGCAGAGGATCCCAGTAAAAGTTTTGGTAAAGATGACTTCCCTGGTGGGGTTGATAGCCAGGAACTAAATAGGAACTCACTAGATGGGTCCCAAGAAGAAAAAAAGAAAAAGAAAAGGCCGAAGGCAAAAAAAGAGCCCAAGGAACCGAAAGAACCCAAGGAGAAAAAAGAGCCCAAGGAACCCAAGACCCCGAAAGCCCCTAAGATTCCCAAAGAGCCAAAGGAAAAGAAAGCAAAAACTGCCACGCCAAAACCCAAACCCAGCAAGAAGTCAAGGTAGGCTGCGGGCAGGCGCACCGCCACAAACATGGTGCGGAAACTAGCACCAGGGTTATCACCTCTGGGGACGGGGTGGGACCGCGGGTGGGACTTGCCTGGGGTGGGGCAAGGGGTGGACCTGGTGTGGGACCTGGTGTGGGACAAGGGGTGGGGGCACTTTAATTCTTGTCCTCCTTGTTGAGCTGCTTTCTCACACACCCAAACTACAAAGTTAAGGGTTTTATGCGATCTAAAATGTAGGACTTAATGAACTAGCGATTGGATTGGTAGCTTTTTAGAAACGTTACTGGATGAAAAATTTTTTTTTACTTTAAAATCACTTTCTTGTATTTTTGTGAAAATTTGCCATTTAACAAACAGAACCAAGCTACCACCATAATTATTTGTGAGCTTCCACCACCGGCCTCACTTTCAGTGACAATGCAAAAGTGGGTGAGGAGTGCGGAGACAAGGCAGGTCACTGTATTTCACTAGGCCTTTCAGTCCTGTTTCCTAGAAGCTGAAACAGGAGAATTAATTCTCTTCACTTGGCAGGCGGAGGAAGCCTTCCAGGGGCAGGGTTGAAATCCTAGTGGGCAACGTGGGAGAAATCAAATAGCAGTTAGTTATCCGTTAGATACGCATTCAAGAATAGCAGAAATTTTAGGTTCTAGGAAATAGTCTCCTCCACGCCATGCTTCCCCTCCGTATTTCCCCCACCAACTCTCTGACCCCCCAGAAGGCGTATTTATTCAGTAAGAAAAGCTGAGAGGAGAAGACATTGAAGGCTAATTTTTTTCATTTGTACCGAACATTTCTTACAACTGTTCTGAACCGGTTCCAAACATCTGAATCTGTTTTTCAGAATATGGCTCATGTTAGAAAATATAGTTTCCAGATGGAAGTATGGGCAGGCTTGGTTAATCTGAACCTGTTTGCAAACCCCATTAGGAGACACGCCCCACCTCCTACCCCCGCGGGCGGATGCACACACGTGCGCGGGCGCGCATGCGCGCTCGGCCCTGCGAGAGATGCGCTCCACCTGAGCTCTGAGCCTTTCCCTCACGGGCTTTCCCGTGGGTCACGAGAAGGTACCCAAAGAGGGCAGTTTCTGTGACCAGAAAGTTGCTGAAAAGTGAACGAACGAACTTGGATTTTCAGCTTCCTGCTAAAAATATCTAAACACCCCAATGCATTATTCTGTCGTGTTTTGAAACATTGAATCATAGTCATTTAAGAAAAATGTTGTCATCAGTACTCATTAATGGGGCCCAGATCTCTGAATTATAGCTGGTCCTCCACATCTGCGGGTCCTGCACGTGTAGATATGGGGGCCCACTGTACTATGCTGTTTTATCTAAGGGACTTGAGCACCCGCAGATTTGGGTATCCACCGGGGTCCTGGAACCAGTTCCTTGTGGAGACTGAGGGACCACTGTATATTCAATAACTCAGTCTTAAAGGTAACTGAATATTTGCATTTACTGAGGAGCATTCTTTGATGCCTCAGTATGTGGTCTCTTAATTGAAAACCATTCTTTTTTTCTCCTTACGAGCACTCTTCTAAACTCAAAATCCATTATAAATTCTGTTTTCATTTACTTAAGAAATACTTTATTAAATGCTTACTGTTTGTAGGTACTGTGTTAAGTCTTAGAGATGTGAGCCAGGAGGACATGGTTAGAATTTGTCTGATTTACGAGGGTTTTTAAAAAATCTGTAATTGCCTTAATCTAGGTATTGTGCTCTTGGTGGGGGGAAGCGTGTGCTTTATTTCTCCTAAGGAGAAAGAAATCAAAGCGAAGTACAAAAAGAATACATATATAGTTTATGCTTAAAATGTAAGAGTGTATGTTCTAAAGAAGATTCCTGGAGCTGAGAAAATACATCACCGAGACTAACTGTAGCCTCAAGATACACCTGTCTTCAGTTTTTATCTTAATTTTTTAGATTTATCACCTAACAGTAAAAATTGATCAAGGGAAAAACACTTGCTACATCTTGGATACTTGTCATAAATGTGCAAATACAGTCTTTTAAGTTCTCGGTCTACCTCAGACTGACCCTATCTTTAAAAATGTGCTTTAGCGTATACCCTTCCGTCCCGTAGAATACACTGGGGTGGACATTAAGTTACCATTTTTAACAATGAAACTTGTTGAAATTTCCTAGTAACTGTAAACAACCATCAGGAACTTGGGGAATCAAATCCAGTCAGCCCGGGGCCGCCTGCCTCCTGGGTGCAGGTCCTGATTCTGTCTTTGTCCCCTAGAGGGGCCTTCAGTGCAGGCCCGTCTGCACGCTCCCCGCAGCCCAGCCTGAAGTTTGAGTCTCCGTGTGGGGTGAGCGCTGGGCACTGCTGAGTCTGATGGCTTTGCGCTATAGTCGCATGCCTTTGGCAGGAGGAAGGCATGTGGTTGTCTTTTCCCAAGGAGAAAGTCTAGTACTTTTCTCCTTTTTTCTGCTTTTGACTAAGTCTCAGTTGATGCCTCCCTCAGGTGACAATTGTTTTTTCCCCAGTGGTGTGAAAATAACTGAGTGGAACCCTTCTTTAGTGCATGGAGGTGCGTGAGGAGAATGGGGCTGGTGCAGCGTGTCCCAGAGACGCGGGAGTCCACCCCGAGGGTGACAGAGAGCGTTTGAGGCACCTCTGCTGGCCCTGGGGACTTGACCCTTGTGGGCTTGCTGGTTTAGGATGAAGTGTGGTGAGAACATTCCTGGGAGGTTTTCCTGTCACTGATGCTCAGGTGCAGATGGCTATCCAAGAATATGGTAACTGAACAGAGGTTGCCGTTACACCAACAAGCCAGCCCATTATTTTGTTGCCCTGCGGTGTTTCTGTTGGTCAGATGAGTGAAGTGTCTTCAGTTGTACTCCCGTTGTTCCTCTAAGTCTACAAAGGAAAAAGCATCCCTGAAGCAAGGATAAGTAGATTGCATACGGCTCCGTGTAAGTTCTGAATAGCATAGCAGAATAATTATGTAAATTGAATATGCAGTGATGAAGGTAATAGGGGGTTTGGGTTATGTTAGGACTGGGGTTGAATTGCCGTAGCAGTTTGCTTTTAAGCACTGAAATATAGCAGTGGCAGTTTTGTTTTGCAGAATGTTACGTGATACCGGTTATTTCCATCCTTGAATAAGTTAACTTGATGAATTTGTTTATACAGAAAATAATTCTCCTACAGAGGGCTGACACAGAGGGAATAAACAGAGACGAAGAGAGAAATGTACCGTAGACCTGCTCACATCTTTCCTGTTTAGCCCGTATGCGGCGTCACTGGTTAGAGTCCACCAACAGACGTGCTGTGCTCTGAGCGGGTGCTGACGGCAGTGACCCACTGGAGGTTCGCGTGGTGTCCGCGCAGGAGAGGGCTCGTCCTGTGGCTTGATGATGGAGGACATGGTTTCACGTAGGGGCCGAGTTTCCTTGGGTGCCTTCGTGGTCATCGTCTTACTCTCTGTCCTCCCACTTCGTTCCTTGAAGTCCCCGGGGCTTGAATTTGTGGCCATTCCCAGTGAACAGGCCCTTTTGGCAACCAAAATATAATTGGATCTGTCTTGCCTACGCAGGGGAACCTAAAAGAATCTGCCCAGAAGCTGTTATGTAGAATGGGAGTGAAACAGAAAAAGGTGTCAGCATTTCAGAAAGAGACACTTAAAATCTTAATGATGAGAAAATGGGCCACACCCCTCTTTTCTTTTAGGACTGCATCTCCCCACCCTCCCCTTTCCCTTTTACGTTAAATATGTACTTTTCTACCTGTTTCCCCAGTGCGCTCCCCAGGTGTCCTTGTAGCTTTCAGATATTGGCAGTTACTATTGCAAATAAAAGCTGAGGCCTTTGTGGCCTGGAGAGGACGCCGCCTCGCACAGGGGGTTCCCAGGGCTGTGCTACGAGGATGTGCGAGGATGTGCGCTCTTTTCAGTCGTGTGTGCTCGGGCCTGTGAAACTAGAAAATTTGGAGGAAGTGCTTCCTTTGAAGGACCTTTGAAGGCTTCGGTGGTCCATTTCGCTGCATAAAGATTCTTTGAATGTACGTAAGGAAGGGAGCTTGGCCACAGGCTGTGACTTCGCTGCTGAAGCTCCAGGGAAATGAAGCCGTGGGGTGGGGGTTTGCCTTTCAGGCAGTTTCGGGGAACACATCTTGTTCCTCGCTCCTCAGCATTGCGGTTAGTGGAAAACTAAAATGCTCCTTCTCCATTAAGAGTGAAGATATTTTAGACTGGGAGGCAAGCCCACTGCTCTTATTTTTAAGAAACATAAAGTACCAAAAACACATAGAGTGTATTTTTTGCATATTGCACCATCATTAATATTTACGTTGCGACTTTGCTCCGAGGAACTGAGCTTTCCAGGTGTTGTTTTCTCAGCGATGAGCTAAGAGAGCAGCAGCGTTTACCTGAGACACGCCTTTATTCAGCCAGCAAGCCTGATACACACGTCACAGTGTGCTCTTACACATGTAAAATTTCTCAGACACAGAAACAATCCATTCAACTCGTTTTGTTAATAAGTACAGAAAACCTAGATAGTCAGATGTCTCCCCATCGGGTAATAAAATAAACCCACAGCTTTTCTTCTTTCTGCTTTTTTGTTCTTTCTTTTACTTGCCTGCTGTGACTTAGGTTTGACCTGAGACACTGGGTAACTGGACAGACTGAGTTAAGTATTTTGGATACTGTGCCTGCAGATGAGAGTAGAAGTTTCTTTAATGTGTGGTCACAAAAAGGACTTTTGAGCCCTTTGGGTGTTGGAGAGGAATAAGGAAGAAAAAGTGCCCATGAATCGTGTGTCTGTCCACTGGCTGCCCTGTCCAGTCCTGGTCATTAAATCCAAGCTCCAGGCCAGGGGTGTGACCAGGTGCCCCCTTCCCTGCTGGTCTCAAAGGTCATTCTCTTTGACAAAGAGGCCCTGAGGTCTTTTTAATCCCAAATCCTTCTTTCCTTCGAGGTTACCACCTCACAGCCTTTCCTTGGCAATGACAGGCCACGTACATTATGGGCTTTCCTCTCTCT